GGAGGCCAGGGAGGAGGTCAGGGAGGAGGCCAGGGAGGAGGTCAGAGAGGAGGCCAGGGCAGAGGCAGGGCGGAGGCCAGGGAGGAAGTCAGGGCGGAAGTCAGGGCGGAGGTGGGGAGCAGGTGCCTGGGGAGGGCCTCGCAGGACGTGGGGACAGGGCAGCACGCTGGCCTCTGAGCCAGGGCAGGGGGGGGGACAGCATGTCCCTGAGTGGGAGCAGGAAGGCGGGGTCGGGCCCTCGCGGGTCTGACCCTGCCAGGTCCCTGCCGCCTGCCGCGATGGTCCCGGCGCCCTGACAGCAGGTGACGGCTCCGCCAGCTGGAGAGCGCAGTTTGAAGAGCGACAAAGGCCATTTGCTCTGAGTCTGATGTGTGGCTCATCAAGCCGCGTCCCCAAACGCTCTTAATTACCAGAGTCAAGGGCTCCGCTGTGGTTTGATGTCACTGTTGGGGCGCGATTAGGTCTCTACAGAGTCCCCGGGGGCTTGGCCGGAGGGCGGGGGCTGGGCCGCGGTGAGGTGGCTCTGTCCCCAGCACCCCCCCCCCCCGACACACGTGCAAAATCACAGAAAGGGGGAGGCAGAAAGACCGGAAAACTCTACCAGCTGGGGTCCAGGGCCTCCTTTCACCTCGGATCCGTGCCATCTCTGTCCCGACTGTCAAAGCCCATTCCATGTGCCAGTCAGGATCAGCTGGGTTTGGCTGCAGTAACAAACAGCCCCAGGTCTCGGGAGCAGACATCATTGAAGGTTGATTTCCCTCTCACACTGTACATTCATTGTGATCTTTTGGGCTAGGGACCTGTCCCCATCACCTTTCTCCAGGACCCTGGCTGATGGTACATCCGCTGTCTGGGATATTGTTGGCTTCCGTGGCCCAGGACAAGAAATTCTTGAGGGCTTCTCACTAGCTACAAGTGCTCTGGTCTGCAAGTGGCTCAGGTCGGTTCCCATTGGCCCCACCCAACTTGACCAATCAGAGCCCAGGAATGGCAATTCTCCCAGGAGCCGGTGTGGCCGTCAGCTGCTGCTGCGTGACAAACAGCCCACACATCTCTGCAGGCACAACTGTGAGCGTTTCCTTCTCACTCTCACACGGCGGGCGGCTGGGCTCCGGTCTCACGGGGGATTGTGTCCAGAGCAGGTGCTTATGTGTCCCTTTCTGCTTGGATTAGCTGTGACTCACAGTGTATTTTTGTCCCTAAAGACAGGGACGCAAGACACGCAGAAGATCCGACTCCTAGTCCGACGCTCAGAGTCGGCCTGCTCTCCCTTTGCTCTAGTGCCTTGTCCAGGCAAATCACTCGCCGGGCCGACATCCCTGAAGTGGGACGTATGTTTCCCCGTGACGTTTGAGAAGAGCTGAGGTTGACCCATAATCTAATCTCCCGTCTCAGTGGATGAAATCAGGAGGAATTTGCTGTGAGTT